AATTCACACACCACCACCCCCCACCCCCGCCGTCTTCCATCCATAACGGTTTGGTGAGCCACGTCGTTTGGGTGATGCGGAGTATCATCGATCCTAGTGATACAATGTATATACCCCACCCTTGATCCTAAGGCAACCACTTACTGTTGTTTCAACGCTGATGGGATCACGGGCGTCAGGATCCAAAGCAACCCCGTCGGCACGTCTCCCCCTGTCCGGCCGGATGCTGAGTCGGGCGCAGGGCGCGCAAACAGTGTTAATGAGTGGTCGTTGGTCAGCCGCGGAGGAGGTAAAGCTTAAGGCCCCCGGGTGGAGTAAATCTTATGCAACACTTTCCACTGGACCAAATGCTACCCACTACTGAGGTGTGGTTTCGGGATCAGACCCCAAAGTGTGGGATGAGACCAAAATGCTCTCAACCGGATCCCAAGGCTCCTTCCCCGGACCCCGGTACCACGAATTTCCGTTTGGCAAACCGGGTAAAGGGGGACGGTCGCGTTCCATGGGCGTTCTCGCCAGCTCAGTCTGAGACCATCCATCACACCCTGAGGGCAGGGTTGCTTGGGCAACTGTGCAACGAGACGCGGTCTTAGACGCGTGTTTTCACCAGCAAACTGAGTCAGGGGTACGTCCCTACCTCAGTGACACAGACTGGACATCTTCCACCCTCTTTGTTGGGGAGATGGTGGGTGTGGTCTTGGAGCATCGTAGTGTACTGAACCAGATGGTTCAGATCGAATCCGCTAGCCATTTGGCCACTGCCATGGGAGGGTGCCCCAAGCACAGAAAACACAACGTCCTAAGGCGATGTCCGCTAGCCAGAGTCTGCTTCTAATTTGCATAATTAGATGGAAATATTACATACATGTATCTACTTGATGTGATTTCTCAAATGAAAAGTATTTGGATGTACAATGTGTTTTTGAAATGACATAATCTGAGTAGGTGTATGTAAATTATTTCTTTTACTGTGATTTGGGCAAAAATTACCCACATCTACTCAAATCAGTTTAATTTAACTCAAGTGAAAGTTATTAAACTGTTTTCTGATACTTGAAATGAATAATATAGATACAGTATTATAACTTGGCATAACCTAGTGCGATTACCATCATAGCATCATCTTCAATAAACGTTCCATTAACCATCAAAGACATATCTTTATATAATTAATGTTATAGAGCAAAAAAGTTATAAATATTATGCTGAGAACACAATAATGGTGAAAACTGTTTAATAATCCATTGAATTAACCCTTTTCCGGTCAAGTCGGTGAAAAACCGCCGTCAATATGGGTATGCTAGAATTTCCCACTCCAGCTAGCTAACTGGTTAAGTCGTTGAAAAACGGCCTGTTATTTAGGTTGCTCAGACGGTCAAGCGTTTATAATACGTTGTACGGAACCTGATATTTTACACTTGCGAAATTATGGAGGGAGAGAATTTGTTTTCGATTACGCCAAGTCAAATAAATTAACCAAGTAATAAAGAATGTAATTCTATACTCTTGTCTGCTCATTTCACTATTTTACCGTCACAACGCGACGTTTGCGACGACGTAAAAAAACCGCCTTGACCACATTGCAAACTGCAGCATTACAACCGTATTTGAACGACACGATTCACGGTTATAACGGTAGTAACGTATTTTGACCAGCTTGGCAAATAGTCCCGGCACTTAGAATGAAT